GCGGGAGGCCGCGGAGCGGGTTACCGGCAGCCGTCCTCAGGGCCGGACGCGCGGCGTCACTCACCTGCACGCCGTTGAGCGACGCAACGCCCATGTAGAGGAAGACGCCGTACAGCACAGGCATAGGAATAAACTGCGGGGGAGAACAGAGGAGAAAACCCAAAAATGAGCTGCGTACACAGCACAACCTGGGCCCTCGGCGGGCCACAACTGAGCCTGACTTGCCCCTCAGACTGAGAGATGCGGGAGTGAGGGCTTCACGAGCCCTTTCTCTCCTGCATCAAGGTAACTTGGAAGTATCTCCAAGAAAGGAAGGAAACCAAGCCAGCCCAGTCCGAGGTGGCCATCAAAGCAACTGAGAGGCATGGTAGAATGTTTTCAGATAAGCTCCAAATTCCTCTGTGCCTCTTGGGTTTCGCGGGGCTGGAAGCAGAAAGTAGGTAAGAAAAGACAGTATAATCCTGTGATACATCCAACTCTGTAAATCCTGTCTGCTGAAACCTGGCCCCTGCATCCTGGGGGCCCAGCAGGGCACTGGGTGACACCATGGTGACACCACGCTTGCTCCTCGGACGAAAACGCTCCACCAACCCAAAGCGCAGGGCTCCCCTCGCAGGCGAGCAGGAAGGCCGGGCGATCGCTGACGAGGTAGCGCACGGAGAGCCAGGCAAACAGCCCGCAGGGCCTTGATCCCCATGGAGCCGAGTAACGTCAGGGACGCGAGGGCTGTAAGGCCCCACGAGGCCGTGCGCAAGGCCGCGGGAGATCAAGGCTTTGCCGGGTTTGATTCTCCCTTTCCTCACCCGACTTCCTCATTCCCTATCATCTCCCGCAGCCTTGATGGCCGGTTTATCTCTGCATTGACTCTGTTTGCTTCCTGGAGGGAGTTGCCCTTGTATTTCACATTAAGGGTTTATATTTCACATTAAAAGCCAAATTATTTTTCTGTAGCCTGGTTTTAGGAGCCCTCTAAAATAGGAGAGTGAGGAGGGACAGGGTGTCTGGGATGTCCAAAGCATTCAATCCCCTCACTGCTCTGAGGGATTAGACCAGACAAGTATCTCCTCGGGCAAGTTGGGTAGTTTTCTGGTTTAGTTTTGTAGTTCATTCATATCGCTCCCCTTTTTCCCTTTCTTTTCCTTTTTTTTTTTTTTTAAAAAAAAAAGGGGGGAGGGAAAGCAATTTTCCCAAATATTATTTAACCACTTCATGACAATTCGTCCTGAAAACCATTTGCAGGGGAAACTTCACACTGTCCTGCAGTGCTTTCCCTGGGGAAGATTTTATTCTGCCAGTGTATGCGCTGACCGGGGGACTGCTGGCTTGGAGATTCAGGGCAAACCTGCTGCTGGCCAACAGAATTAAAAACGTATTTATAGGAAAGTGCTTGTCATTCCCTTCACAGGACTGAGGATGTTTCTGGGGAGATCTGCCATAATTGAGTAGAAGGATCAGTGACATTCAAAACCAGCACAAGCACTGCAACATCCACAGAAAACCAAGGATGGGATTACGCTGCGGATTGACTTTTTCATTGAATTTGGGCTCATTACTGTTCAGCTCGCAGCTGGCAGGAGAGGACTTAAGGCTTTTCAGCGCATTTTGCAAAGCGGTTCTTTCCAGCAGGAGCCCCTACCACTGGAGGTTGTTAAAGGCGATTGCCAGGAGGTTGCCAGGCGATTCCTGCTCGCACATGGATGAGGAGTGTGCCGATGGATCCTCAAACCTCCTCCCGGGAGGGCCTGGCCCATGCGCGCTCTTCAGGGAAGCACGGCAAAATGATTAACAAAGGGAGCAATAACCAAGGAAAGGAGAGAGCGTGCTGCAAAAGAGGGGGAGAGAGCTTGCAAGGAAAGGTCATTTGGACTAACAACCAAAATTAATATAATCCGCCACAAAAATGCTGGTGAAGAGAAATAAATTATAACCAAGAAATAAAAAGACAGCTGCTCCCAACATCTAGAACCACCTTTGGCAGCAATATCTCTTCATACTGCAAGTTAGGTCGTTAAATCTCAATTTAACCACCTAAAGAAGTGGCTCGATTTTCCTATAATTTAATATCTTTTTGTAAAATTTCCTATACATTATGTTTTTCATACCACCAGCTGCAGGCTCCGCTCACTGCCATCAGGGCTGTGAATTCTCGCTCAGCGGAGTTTCATCCTCTCGATAGGCCATTTATGCAGACGAAGATTTTTAGTAGCAGAAAAATAAGGGGAGGGTTACTGTGGCACTGCTTGTCCTACGGCATGGTGAGGAGAGGAAGCAAGGAACCTAATGGGCTTACCTTTAAGATAGGAGCCATGAACACGGACACCCCGGTCAGAATGAAAACAATGAATCCAGTGACTCTCTGCTCCCTGAAATAAAATCAATGGATTAACTGTGTGGCTTCAGCTTTAATTCTGGTTTTATTCCCTCTCCAGAGCACTCAAAACCCCTAAGAAGTCTGACATTCTGGCATATTTTCAGTGGTGGGTGGCAATATGAAGCCAGTAGCATCAGGCAGGTGTCTTGTTTGCAACCAGGCCTCTGGCAGGTCCTTTTTTCACACATGGAATTGGTGCCGGTGTCTTTCCTTAACTCCACTGTTGGTGCATCAACAGAACATTGCTACTGAGTACAGGTAAGTGTGTTGAAATGCCAAACATCAAAAGCCATTAACTAGCAGACCATATTCTCTGCACGGCAGTTTTTATAGCATGCAATTAGGTAATAAATCACTAGCTCTCCACTCTTAAAACTGTGGTGTATTCGAAATATTGGTCGTAGTACTCCAACAGCCAGACAAATGCTGTCTTGCACCGTTCTGTACACTGCTGCACAAAGGAGCATCCCCTCCCTGAGCCTTTGCAGGGGAGCTCAACGTTTGCCCTAACAGGAGCCCCTAGCTGCTCCCAACACCTAAAAATACTTTTGCCAGCAATATTTCTTCGCACTGTGAATTAGGCCATTAAATTTCAATTTAACCACCTATATAAGCAGCCCGATTTTCAGATTTTCAGTCCCAGGACCTTCTGAAGAGCTGCACTGCAGGTTTGGAAATACCAAGACAGCAGCCCAAAGCTCTTGATGAAAACTGTGCCGTGGGCCATTCGCGCCCGAAGCGGCTGCAGGGAAGTTTGTGCGTTTGAATGTGGGCGCCCAACGCAGATATCTGAGTGCAAGTGCAGTGTGCGGGTCCTTGCCTTGCCTCCCCTCGCGCGTTTGCATGGGAATCTCCAAGGGGATATTTCTACTGAGGACAAAAGAAAAGCCTCTAGGAAGCAGAGCCAACGGGAAGCTTTACTGCAAATCTAAGAGCTACTTCCCCTGAACCTCTGCATCTATCCTGTTGGAGCAAGACCTACACAAGCAATGATCCTGGCGAGGCCCTTCCGGCGCAACGTACCTCACTCCCAAAAACTTGGGCTGTTCTCCAGGAGCTGAAGTTTCCGTCTCCATCTTCAAGCTGTCGATATGGGCAATGGAGATGACAGTAGCAGCAACATACCAGGGAAGACCCATGAAGGAGCAGACAATCATGAGGATGGCCACCCAGAACAGATCCAGATGATACCCAGCACCTTTCTGTGAAGGGAGACAGACAACCTTATGCTTAGTTATTCTAAATATGTACGAATATCCTGGGCTCTGGCACGGGGGGCACCCAACAAGCAGCCTTTCCTTTCATCCCACTTTGCAGGCAGCAGCTTGGCCTGCTCTAAGGGGGGGAAATTTTCTAAGAAATCAGCAGAGCAGGACACCTTGCTCCGTAAAGGGCGAATTACCGGCATGGGCAGGGAGCCCAGGTGTGTGTTACTGCTCTGGCAAGCTGAAAAACACTGTGAGGGGGTTCAGCAGCAGGCAGAGAGAGCAGCAGGCTGGCAAGCAGGCTGGGAAGGGACAAAGCGCCTTTCATATGGGATCCTGGATAGCACCTGCAAGTGGAGCCGCTCCGGTGCAAGCCCTGCAACCTGGCAAGTAACTCCTTCCCAGGGGAGATACACATTAACCCTTGAAAGCATCGTAAGCAAGCCCTCAAAAACCAAATATTTCCCGATTGTATTCACAAGGGGCTCTGCTTTCACCACAAAAAAACCAAAAAGACAAAAAACAACATTTTTTGTATGTGTATATTATATTTTTATAACTAAATGCTCCCATATTTTTAAGGAGGTAACACGACAGCAAGAAGTCAAGGTTCCAGCAGCATCCGAGCTGCCCTGCACAGCACGTGCAGTACCAGGGCAGCCCGTGTGCACAACACGAGGCCACTTGGGCACCACGGGGATTAGGACAGCACACGAGGAGCCGCCTGGAAAACAAGAGGAGGCTCTGCAGCTCGCACTACTTTTGACTGGATTCAGGGGCCAGCAGCCCTTTGGAAAGCCAGAGGCCACCTCTGCAGGATGGAGAAAGTTGTTCACGGTCCCTCCTTGAAGTCCCTTCTTTTTTAACAAGTACAGCAGCTCCTTCAGTTTACGGAGACTTCGTTTGGCATCAGCAACGACGAGAGCACCTGTGTGAGCCAAGTCACCTTGCGTTCGTGTGAGTGACAACCTGGATATGCACAAGGCTTTAAGTATCTCGACTGCATTTTAATAAAACCAGCCTAAAGCCTAACCAAAGTTTTAAGCAGCTGTGGGAAATCCTGAGAGCAATCTGACAGATATATGAAGCCTGTCATAAGTTAACATTTGCCATTTCACAGTTCAATGCAAGATCTGAACTTCTGTGTGTTTAGGAGAAGAAGCAATTGCAGAATCCCAGAGTCAGGACTGCACAACTGGGCTTGTCATCACTATTTGTACCTGGGGCTGGAGGATGCCACGGTATTTACATATTTGACTTAATTTTTATAACCCTTAATGGACTATGAAAGGAAATTGAGTGGTCACACACGTCCAAATTAGAGGTGAAGAAACAAAAGCGCCTCCAAAAGAAGAGGAACCTTTAGAAAAACACTAGGGAGATCTCAAAGGTTTGATAATTTAAAGGAGATTAAAGCTTTTCCAAACCTGTTCGATTTGATTTTATTGGCAAGAACAAATGAGGCGGCCCCACTTGGCGACCTCGGAGGGAAAGCAACCCAGCTCCACGTGAACAGTGCTCATTGTTTCCCTACGAGGTGCTCTGCTTACCTTGGCTGGCCAGCAGCACGGCCACCACGGTGAGTCACTGACAACCTGCCAATACTCTAACAAGGCGCTAATGTGAAAAAAAAGAAAAAAAAAAAGCCTTTTTGGCCTTTGATAGATTTTGTGTAGTGAGGCATTTTTCGGTGCAGAGCAGCAGGGAAGGAGCAGAGAAGCTGCACTTGAACAAAAGCGTGTTCTTGCCACCGTAACAAAGGAAGCAGGAGACAAATTTTTATATTAAACAGGACTTTCCTGGAATGTTTATAATTTGCTACTAAGAAAGTACACTGAGTGCTGATATCTTGACCATGTGCAGTGCCTACAAACTGAACAGAGGCCTCTTCCTTGCAGGGAAGATTTGATCCCTGGGGATCAGAAGAAGAAGAAAAGAAAAAGATCTGTTTGGAAAGAGTTACGGTTGGGTTTCGGCCCTTGGCACGGCAGCACGAAGACCAGATACGTATGTGAAGCTGAGGACACACCAAGCCCAGAGGTGCCCAAGGTGAGGAAGGCAGAAACCTGCAGAAAGCAAATACACACCAAAAGCACCTTCTTCTGCCAAGCTGGCAGCAATCCTCTCTGCACCTTGCCTCCCCCGTTGCCTCCACCTAATGGTGTGGTTCAAGGCCAGGGCAAAGATTAGCTTCTCCATGAGGGAGGAAGGTGTGGGCACCGGATTAATTGTGCCTGCCAGCTCCGTATGGCAGAAAGAGATGTTTTGATGTTGCTTCAAACCAGCCTCATGGCTCTCAGTCAGCACCTCCACCACCTACCAAGCCTTTCCCCTTCCCTGCTCTTCAAACTCACTCCTTTAGACCACTCCTAGGATGGTCTTCAGCGTTGTGCCCGTGTCCACAGGAGCTGGGACACCCTCCTCTTCAAACACGAGCCAGGCTGACAGAAGAGCCGCGTTTCCAAGACAAACAGCTCTCCAAACAACCGATCAAGCTGATATCTAAATAGTGACCCCGCATTTCTCACGTTTTGAATGAGTCTTTACTCTCACAGTCTGGGCCATTTGAAGTC